GGAGCCTGGGCGGCGGCCGAGCGGCTCACACAGGACTTCGCGTGGCCCCCTGGGGTCTGCTTGGATCTTCAGTAGCAGATGAACGGCCCGGGAGTCGTGGGGGGGCTGCGCCGGCCCCAGCGCCCGAGCTGCGCTTCTGCCCGTGGTTTTACCTCTCAGTTCCGTGCTCGATGCACCCTCCTGGTACCCAACGAAAGGGAAGTTTTTGGTGCAAAGCACCTGCGAATCTCCGGTCCGTGAGCTCGCTGGTTTCCCCCGCTCCTGGGCCGCTGCGCCACGCGTGCCGTGCGCCCGCCCTTCCTCGCCAGCGCTGCGTTCTCCTTGTCGCGAGCAGTGTGTTGTCTTCAGGGCGGGTTTCCCGGCCGCGAGGACTGGCTGTGGCGTCTCCAAGTCAGCACCCGCGTTTGTTTGAAATCAGAAGAGGTGGCGCTTGAGCGCCCAGTGCTGTCCCTTTCTGGCACCCGAGCGCCGGTGCTGTGCCACGGGTCCCGGCTTCTCTGCCATGCCGCTCGGGGAGCTTGCAGACACCAAGTGGCTTCCGGAGCCCATGCCGAGCTCGCCTGGAGGCGGCTGCCTGCGTGGACCGGGCTGCGGGCAGCGGTCACTGCCGGGCAGCGGGAGAGACACCCGCACCGTCGCCTCAGCCCCTCCCTGTGCACCAGCGTGGACACCTCGTCCTGTGGGCGCGCCTGGCGCTCGGCTGCTGGTCCAGTGGACAGCACACCCGGGGTTGTGCCTGCCCCTCTCTGTTTGGGACCTGCTGTCTTGGGACTTGCTCCTAGAACCTAAGAGCGTGGATGGGGCGAGGTCTCGTCTCCCCTGGCCTGTCGGGGGTGGCGGGGGAGAGGTGAGCCGGTTGTCATCTGTCACCTGGGGCCGTGGGCGGGGCTCCCTCTCACACCCGCGCTGCCAGCTGTGTGGCTGTGTTGGCAGCTGGGCCAGTGGCTGCCACTCCAGGTGCTGCTCTTCCCAGGGAAACCGCACCTGCTAATTTGAGGCCTCAGGACGGTCGTGTCGATCCATGAGGATCTGACCTTTAGACATGTTCAGAGATGGACGGATGTCAGATCTGTTTGCTTTTCTGTAATAAGAGAAATGTGATTTGTAATAATTGAACTAATGACACGGGTTTATTTAATCACTAGCATCATGATGTGTTTTAGCCGACCTGACAGGCAGTCCTGTCCTGGCTCCTGTGGCTTGAGGATGGACACCAGGCCTGCCTAGCGTCATGGGTGGGCTCCGTGCTGGGGAGCCAGCCCCCCGTGTGTGTTCGGGTGTCAGGGCCGGGGTCACTGCAGGCTCCTGCTGTTACCAGATGGTGGGGGTGGGGCAGCATTGATACCTCTGAGATTTCAGCTTCGTCACCCAGGTGGGGTGTGGAAGGAATTCCCACACCACCCGCGTCACATGGCTGTGCCTTTACCTGTTGACTATTTATATATTTATTTATTTATTATTTACTTATGTGGCTTTGTTCCCGAAAAGTGTGTAAGGCAGCGATGCTCTGGTGTGATCTCTGCTCTGACATTTGGCAGGTGTTGGTGTGTACTTGCTAAGCAGGCACTTTTTTATTTTTAACCCTCACCTGAGGATATTTTTTCCATTGCTTTTCAGAGGGAGCAGAAGGGGGGGGAGAGAGAGAGAAAGTGAGAGAGACAGATAGACAGACATCCATGTGAGGGATCCATCGAGTGGTTGCTGCCTGCACATGCCTGACCGGGGCGGGGATCAAGCCCGAAGTCCAGGTACGTGCCCTTGACTGGATTCGAACCCGGGACCCTTCAGTCTGAGGGCCGATGCTCTAACCACTGAGCAGACTGGCCAGGGCTTCAGCAGGCACCTTAAAAAGAAGGGACAACTGGCAGTTTCCTGACGCAGAATGTTTCTGTTACCAGGCCTCAGTTCCGTTTTTAAGGGCCTCTCATCTCCCGTGAACCGATTCTCCCGGTCAGTGCCTCACGCAGGCGCAGGGCCGAGGGAGGACGCCCGGCGGCAGAGGCGGCTCTGCTGGGGCCGCCCTGGGGACCGGGGGCTGCCCGGCCAGGGCCCTGGCTGTGCCTCCCGCGGGGCTTTGCAAGAACAGATGGGAAGCACTTTGTACTTAGCGACCCTGCCACATGTCAACTGCTGTCCTGTGGCTGTCGTCCCTCTCGGTGGACATGCCCTCGAGGTGATGGTGGTGGTGCTGTCAGAGCCTGGACCTCGGGGGTTGGGCTTGACTGTGCCCCGTGGGCAGTGAGAGCCCTGGGTGCCCTCAGCCCAGGCCTTGGGCACAGCGGGCCCTGCAGGTCGGAAGTGTGACACACACGATAAATAACGTAGGAAGCCAAGTTTATCCAACCTACAGGGTCGTCCTTTATTCCAAGATTATGTTCTCAGTTTGGATGATAAATTAATGAAGGTGGGAATAGAGGGAAATATTTTATTTTTAAAAAAGTCTTGGTTGCAAAACAAATTGTTGGCTGCGTTTGTCGAGTGTGCCCATCTCTGAAGCCCTGGGGTTGGGGACCCCCAGTCTGGCTACAGTGTTCACACAGCAGTGAGCAAGCCCCTGGGTTCTGAAACGGCGCCTGCTGCTGAAGGGCAGGGCGTAGGCTGGGGAAGTGGGTGGGGAGAAGGGGCGACCCTGCCGCTGTGGGTGCACCTGCTCGGTGTCTGGAGTGCGTGGGGATCCTGTCTCTTTAGGAGGCTTTGATTTCAGATCCCTGTGAATGTGCACAGTGTATAAATGCGCATACATCTAGTCTAAGTGTGGTATTTGTGGGTACCTCTCTCTCGTGTGTAAAACCACAGTGCCCTCTGCCTCGGTGTGTGCACAGCCCCTGTGTGCCGGGGACATAGCCGCTCAGTGTGTGCACAGCCCCTGTGTGCAGGGGACATAGCTCCTCAGTGTGTGCACGGCTCCTGTGTGCCGGGGACACAGCTCCTCAGTGTGTGCACAGCGCCTGTGTGCAGGGGACATAGCTCCTCAGTGTGTGCACGGCTCCTGTGTGCCAGGCACATAGCTCCTCAGTGTGTGCACGGCCCCCGTGTGCCAGGGACACAGCTGCTCAGTGTGTGCACGGCTCCTGTGTGCCAGGGACACAGCTCCTCAGTGTGTGCACGGCTCCTGTGTGCCAGGGACACAGCTCCTCAGTGTGTGCACAGAGCCTGTGTGCAGGGGACATAGCTCCTCAGTGTGTGCACGGCTCCCGTGTGCCAGGCACACAGCTCCTCAGTGTGTGCACGGCCCCCGTGTGCCAGGGACACAGCTGCTCAGTGTGTGCACAGCTCCTGTGTGCCGGGGACATAGCCGCTCAGTGTGTGCACAGCTCCTGTGTGCAGGGGACATAGCCGCTCAGTGTGTGCACAGCCCTTGTGTGCCGGGGACATAGCCGCTCAGTGTGTGCACAGCCCCTGTGTGTGGGTGACGTGCTGCAGAGAAGGATCCACCGCCAAGCTCGGCGTTCCCTCGGCTCTGTGATGAGTGTGTGACCACAGTGGCCAGGACCCACTGCTATTGCACTTGTACCTGGTTAAGAGCTTTCAGAAATATGATAACACCTTTGATATGTTTCTGTAACTTTAATAAATGCTTTTTACCCCTGTGACTCCTAGTGCCTTGGTTTTGTGGACTATTAGCTCATGGAATTGGTTGTGTGAAACCTTCGTGTCTGCAGCCCCAGTTGGAGCACCTGTTCTCTGGAAGTTTCTGACAGTTTGGGGAGAAAACTAGTCTAAAGCAGGGTCTCCCCCGGCTCCAAGGGGGGAGACCCTGGGGTTCTAGGGCAGCACCCAGATGTCGGGCTTTGAACTGCCCGACAATCCTGTTTCACTTAGTGGGATTCTGGTTAGAAGAGTGTGTGCCCCTGAGTGTTTGAAACCCACCCTTTCCAGCGAGACGACTGTCCCTGCAGTGCTGGGGGTGGGAGGGTGCAGATGACGGGTGAGAGCCTTGTTTCTGGGCAGTTACACGTGACTCGTTTACACGTGACTCATTTTGATGGGAGGTGGGGGTGGGTGGTGAGGTGCAAAGCTTTGGGAGGAACCCGGGAACGAGTGAGCTGAATAAAGGGGTGTGTCCCCTGTAGCCCAGAGTCAGTAGGCAGGTGGGCTGTGTGGGAGCCATAACTGGTGAGAAGCACCAGGGAGTACGGGAGACTGCGGCTAAGTTAGGGGTGTTCAAGTGACTGGCTCTGTGGTGAGAGGGCCCGGAAATCTCGGGCTCTGCAGCCTGTGCCTCCGTGGCCATGTCACGGTCAGCAAACTCTAAGGCCTGTGGTGGCTGCGGCCACTCGGGCAGGAAACTCACTGGGCTGCTGGGCCAGGGCCAGTGGGCAGGAAGCCACCTGCTGGACGCTGCTTGCAGGGGCTTGTGCTGGAAGCAGCTGGAGCAGGGGGGCTCCCTGGGGAGCCGGGAAGCTGCCTGCGGGAAGTTGACCTCTCTGGGACCTGCCCGACTCAGCTGGGAAACTGCTGCTGGGGGCTGCTGAGGTCAGCTCCCTGGCTGATCATGTCCAGCCAGG